TTAGTAGATCCTAACTGTCTCCGCAGATTACCTAATTTATCTAGCTGCTTACCAAAAGACTTAGTAGATCCTAACTGTCTCCTCAGATTACCTAATTTATCTAGCTGCTTACCAAAAGACTTAGTAGATCCTAACTGTCTCCTCAGATTGCGTAAATTAGCTAGCTGCTTACCTATAAACAAAGTAGAACCTCAGTGTCTCCTCAGATTACCTAATTTAGCTAGCTGCTTACCTGTAAATGAAGTAGAACCTCAGTGTCTCCTCAGATTACCTAATTTAGGTAGCTGCTTACCTATAAACGAAGTAGAACCTGTCTCCTCAGATTACCTAATTTAGCTAGCTGCTTACCTATAATCTGTACTAAAATGTTATTAATTCGTGTTTCAGTGAATTGCTTTCAGTGTATAAAATCCAGATACTCTATTTTCCAAATAGTCTTGCCTGACCCATCAAAAAATAATGGGTTGGAGTTTTGTATATCAATAATAAGCTAAGGTTTATGATAAAAATTCTATCAAAAAGTTTAAAACTAAATATTAATTTCAAGTAATACAACTACTTAAGACTAATGGCAATACATTTAGGAGAAAACAAGATATTTTATCCAAAAATTTTTAATAAAACTGAAAACTTCACGAAAACCTAACAAGAACATACAAATTATGGTCACTAATCTCTAACTTAGATGTTTTTAAATCTTGCCAAGAACTTCGAAATGTCAACTTCAAATTAAGTATATACATAAGCTAAAACGTAAAATGATCTAAAAAAGTGAAATTCAAGCCAACCCTTGTGGTAATTCCAAGTATTACATACATCAATAATAATATGAGGTCATAGTTTTATTGCAAAGCGAAACAGACTATTGGAGCATTATCAAAAGACAACTGGCTTTTATATATATCAAATGATTTAAGTGTCTCTACAGTTTGTTTAACAAAAGATTTACCTACCTAACTTTTTTGGTTAATGTCGGAGTTAAGCGTCTAAATCTGCTTAGAATTCCAAATATTTGTAATAGAAACCTTAAAATTAAGAAACCTAGTAGTCTCTTATAACAGTTTACATTAATTCAAAAATATAAAGATGTAACTTAATTTTTGATAGTTTCAGATGTAACTTTTCAGCATTTCTAAAGAGTTAATACACAACATATCTACATTTAATAATTTCAGCAATGGATTTGCCTACTTAAGAGAGCTAGAAACTTTATGACTGCCTAGAAAAGTGCCTACATAACAGAAGGAAAGTGAAAAAGAGAATTTTTTAAGTTTTACTTACAAGCCCCTACCCTAAATTATTAATGCTCTATCCTAATAAAAAAACAATTTAGGCATAGAAGTTCAAGCACATAGACAAGATTGCAAAATGGTCCTACCCCAATCTGCTAAAAGGAAAAAAAACAACAACAAAAGGCCAATAAGAATAGAAAGAGAAAAACAATCTATATAAAATCAACCCCAATGTACTAAAATAACACCACAATAACCTAACATACAAGGTACTTACATCATGATCACCTAATGAACAGAAATAATTACTGAAATTAATTGAAATTACAGCACTTAAATGAAGAATAACTGTCTATCTAGGGCCAGTGATGAAAGAATCCTCCATATAAAAAAGGAGTTTTCTGATTCACAAGTTGAGTTCTGAGATCAACGTAGTTGTGTCAGCATGTTACTTAAAAAAGTTTAAGACTATAAAACGTAAAGTTCGTATTTGTTTAAGCCCATTAATTTTTTTTATTTTTTACTTTTCGTTCAATTGACAAAAGTTATATTAGTATTAACTTTTGATCAGAGCAAGCTACTGACTTAGATTGAAACAAAAATTTAGCCTGATGACTGTAGGTAATCGAAAATACATTTCTTACGGTATTACTTGTAAAGACTAGAATGCATTGTTTCATTAGATAAATAATGTCGTTGATATTTCCGGCTGTAATCCCAATATTTTCTCACAAGGTTTGTCCAGCTAGAGAGATTTGATGTAGTTCTAAAAAACATATTTATTAAGAATACATTGTAAAACAATGTTTATAATAAAAGTATGGTAAAAACATAACATTAAAAATAATAACAGTTGATTCGTTAAACATTCTAAGTATTAACTTTTGGTAACATCACGTTCGTCTGTGTCGCTTAGCAACGAAACTTTGACCAGATATTGTTGTCTTAAACATGTATATAATACTTCCAACGTTCACGAGGGCTGACTTGAATTCGACTTTTTAGATCGTTTTCCGTCTTAGTTTATGCATATATTTAGCTTAACGTAAACATTTCGAAATTCTTGGAGAGCTTTTAACACATCTAAGTTAGAGGTTAGTGACCATAATTCGCATGCTTTTATTAGGTTTTTGTGAAGTTTTTTGAGTTTTATTATTACTTTTTTGGATAAAACATTTTTTTTTTCACCCAAACGTATTGCCATTATTAATCTTAACTAATGATGGTACTTGAAATTCATTTTTAGGTTTAAACTTTGTGATAAAATATTTTATCACAAACCTCAGCCTATTGGTTTTGAAAGCGGCATTTTCCTTCAGCGTTTAAGCTGTAATTTTTAGGTTATATGACGTAATTAGAAAAGTGCGTTCTACGGAAGGTTTTCACACCACTCCAACCCTAACTAGTGGAACAATAATTTTCACTCATAGTTGTCGGGCAAGGCTAGTTTTTGTACTGTAGCAATAAAGAAATAATAGAGTACTTCTTACTCGCGGATCACACAAACATTAGCGGTTGGCTTCAGTTTCAAGTACTATCACATATTTAGTGTTCATTGAGCAACGTATAAGCAAAACTTAATACATCCTTTCTAAAACCGTCTTGTGACCATTAAACCGGTCTGACAAACCGATAACTATGAGTAAAAGTTATTGTTATACTGGTAAGGGTCGGTTTTTTTAAAACCTCCCGCAGAATGCACTTTTCTAATTACGTCATATAACCTAAACATTACGGCTTAAACACAACCAGAACCAATAGGCTAAGATTTATGGTAAAAATTTGATCACAAAGTTTCAAGTACCATCATAAGTTAAGATTAATGGCAATACGTTTTGGCGAAAAAATATATTTTGTCCAAAAACGTTATAATGAAAATCTTCACGAAAGCCTAATAAAAGCATCCGAATTATGGCCACTAATCTAACTTGGATGTTTTTACCTCGCCAAGAACTTCAAAATGTCTACTTCAAGTTAAGTATATATATGCATAAACTAAAAATGTAAAGTTATCTAAATAAGTGAAATTCAAGCTAGCCCTTGTGAATGTTCGAAATATGATATGCTTAAGACAACAATATCTGGTTTTATAGTTTTATCGCTAACCGTCGCAGATAAACGGAACGTTACCAAAAAGACAACTGGCTTTTATACATATTGGATGCCTTTTGAATATCTTGTATTACGTTTTATTCACAGTGCAACACCTGATTAATTTGTGTTCATATAATATAGCCTAGTAGTTAGGGAGGTCGACTTGCAGTCTGTGGGTCGAGGGTTCGAATCCAGTTACGAAAATTTTCAAGCGTGGGTGCATTATGATGTAACGGCCAATTCTCCTATTCGATTGGAGACAGCTAGCGCAGATTAGCCAGCGAGTAGCTGTGTGCGAAATCCCACAAATACACAATAATATTATCATGCTGAAATTGTTAGTGGTGGTGATATAAACTTTAATATAAATTTTTGATGAAGTTATTATTTTTTCTAACAAGGTCAAATCTTTGTTTTAGTATTTCATAAAATACGATACCACATTTTATCTATTTGTTATGCAGATTATATGAATTTACAGTTTTTTTTAATTTATTACCGTCCATTGTTTGCTTTTTAAACCAATAACTTATATGGTGTGATATGGCTTCACAGACGACGCTTGTGTTGTTCTTTCTAGAAAACCAGACGGAGCAAGCAGGTTTCCCAAGCTGGACGAATGTGCACACTTTCACTACGACAATGTAGAACTTGGCCCTGTCATGGTAAGAACAGATCTGCCTTGCTTTATTTTTTGTAAATCATGAAGGAATAAAGAAGTATTGGCCATCTCGAACACTTGATTTGCTTAATTTTATATTATATTTGTATTTACTTTAAGGTATTTTGTAATCATTTAAAGTTTTTTTTAAATAATTTCAGATCGTCAGATTTTAATAAAACAAAAACTTTATTAATTAATTTTGTATTATTTTAATTTTGAAATAGATCTGTCATTATACAAGTTATTTGTTAAAAAAATTGTAATGCTTGTTTGTAATTAAAAAAATAATCTAGAAATCCGTATTAATATTGTTTTGACGTGATCGAAATAGAGATCAAATGATCGTACTCAAACAAAAAACATTCTTTTTCTCTGATAAAGTGAATACTGAACTTTTTAAACCTTTGTTTGTTTTAGAGCAAAACCACTTTAGCTATCTGCTGTGTCCATTGCGGTGAATCAAAGCCCGGATTTTAGCATTGTAATTTCATAAACTTACTCCTGTCCTACCGGGAGACTTTTCTAAAATTTTGATGATGGTCGTTTAAACAAAACAGAAGGATCTTAATTACTGATATTTTATAAGTAAAACTATTTTTATTCAAGTTTTAAAGTCACCAAGGCGAAGTATTTTTCTTGCACTTACTAGAGCTGTCATAGAACCAATTACTTCGATGTTGTAGAAGAATCACTGAAAGATTATTTTACATCTAATTTTCAAGAACTTGCAAAGTAACATGGAGTTTGCAGATTTTAAAGGCTCTCATTGGTAATCGTTTCTTAGTTGATTAGCCTGGCATGGCGTATGGTTAGGGCGTTAGACTAGCAATATGCGGCTTGTGGAATCAAACTCGGTCATCGAACGTTCTAGTCCTATCAGCCGTGAGGGCGTTATAACGTTACGGTATTTCCCACTCTTCTATGGTTAAGAGTAGCGAAGAGTTGGCAGTAGGTGGCGTTCACTATCTGCCTGCTATTTAATCTATCACTTCTAAATGATCACCGACTAGCACAGATAGTCCCCAAGTATCTCTGCACGAAATTCAACAGAACAACAAACAAACAATCGTTAGTTGAATAAAGGCTGACGAGATTTAAACCTAGGATGTTTTCTGTTTCATGCACCGCGTTCCAATACAAAAGAATATATATTTTTGAATGTAGTTTTAATGCTGATTTCAGAAATATAAATAAAAATTTGGAGAAATGAAAATAAATGTATTTTTATATTTTCCTTACGAAACAAAGGAAGTACTTTTAGCATTACGTATATACCTCTGTATCTAGAAGAATTGTAATACATCAGGACAATACAAAGTATCTAGTGACTATGTAACAAATTCAGAAATATTTATAACTATTTGCTTAAAGAGATCATCACTTTCATGTCTACGCCGCCAAACGAACTCGCAGAGATACGAGTCAATCATGTTACGATTGGTTCCACAATGTCGCTTGTTACGTCTCTTAACCACATTCTAAATACTTTAAATTTGCTGCAGATTTCAGAAATATAAATGAACATTTGGAGAATTGATTTTTAATGTGGAAGAAATGGAAAAATATTTTCATTCTTTCAATAATTTTTCTAATGAAATTTGTGTTTTATTTAAATAAACATGTAATTATTTATTAATTACTCTAATTTGATTTAACCTCACATCAACTGACCTAACCTAACAAAATGAAAAATATATAAAACTATTTCTTTTCATTTCTCCAAATTTTAGTGTATATATTTGAAATCAGCATTAAAAACTACATTGAAAAAATATATATTATTTTCTATTTGAACGCGGTGCGTGAAACAGAAACGATCTAAACTTGTTACACATCCGAATTTATATTTATGGTAAAGGTATAAATGTGTAAGTATATTGGTCAACTTTTTTTAAACATTATACTTTAGTACTTGTTCAGCTTAGTCACACTGTCGGTTTTATATTTGATGTGTGTATGATTTGTCCTTGTGACTCGGCAAAATAATGGAGCATTTATACTGCTCAACATTTCTTAAATAATCGAAATGTAATCTAATATATATAAATTAATTTGGTAACGCTCCGTTCGTCTGTGTTGCTTAATAACAAAAATATGACCTGATATTGTCTTAAGTATGTATGCAATACTTCGAATGACCACGAGGGCTGGTATGATTTTCACTTCTTTAGATCGTTTTACTATATATATATATATATACTTAACTTGAAGTTGACATTTCGGAGTTCTTGGCGAGTTTTAAAAACATTCTAGTTACAGGTTAGTTACCATAATCCGTATGTTTTTATTAGGTTTTCGTGAAGTTCTTCAGTATCATTTTTACTTTTTCTTCTCCCAAACGTATTGCCATTAGTCTTAATTAATGATGGTACTTGAAATTAATTCTTTTTTTAGGTTTTAAACTTTGCGACAGAATTTTTATCATAAACCTTAACCTATTTTCGGCGTTTAAACCGCAAATTTTAGGTTATATGACATAATTAGAAAACATACAATCTTTAGGTTTGTTTGTTTTTGACGGGTCGGGCAAATCGAGTTCTTAATAAGTCTGATCTCGCATATGTGTTGGTTGGGCATCTTTACTTGAAAAGGTTTCGTTCAAAAGACTCAGCGCTTGTTTTATTTTATTTGAAATATTTGTTTGATCCACATTGTCTAGGATTTGCTTCTTAAGAATGCAAATAATATTATAACCGATAGAAATATCGAAGTAACTTTATAGAATACTCACTTTAAGGTGGAATATTGGCACTACAGATTGTATAGAAGTAAAGTTTTCCTAGTGTAGTGAAATTGACGAACTGTAACTTTAGCAGAGAAACATAAGTAACACAAATAGAGGAAGTTGTCATAGTAAAGTCTTTTATAAATTCAGTGGTTTGTAGCATAGAATATTGCCTGCTCAAAAGAAAGCCAAACCTATATTACATACTGTAAAAGTTGTTTCAGAATGCTATTAAGCGAAGCTAGAAGACAACATTCAGCTTCGAAGATAAACCTTGCGTTGTGTGGAACATTTTCATATCTGAAACTACATTCTCCTATGTTCATTTTTATCACAACGTTTGGCTCGATATTTAAGAAATATGTATTAGGTGAATATAGTATACCTGACTCTCAAGTTATCTAATTCTGCGTTTCTCAAACAGTGGGTCACGATCTCTAAGGATATTTGAAAGGGTCTCCAAGGGGTGAGTGTGAAGTTCATTGTTTTAATAAAGTTTTAAATAAACCCCTGAATTCATTTTATTAAAGAAAGTGGCATGTGGTCTGATATACAAATATGTTCTATTCCACCCCATGTCGACAATTGGTCATTTTCTACTACAGAATTTTCAGCGAAATATATTATCAGAAGACGTTTGTTACTAAGGCGTGGGATCACTTCTGACACTAGTGCAAGTTTTAAATCAATGTGGTGTACTTAAAACGATCGAATCAATGAGCTACTGGCCCACTCCTGTATTATAACTTCTTTCAGTTCATCAACCTACTGCTTGGAGGCAATCATACACTGCCAGTTATTCTTCCATAGCCTCCCGTATACATATCTATATATGGTAACTGTAAGACTTCAACCCTGTATCGTATGGCATTCACAGCATGTAAAGGTCATTGTGCCATTATGGTCTCGTATCAGGCTGTAGTATGAAGCCTTATTCGTATGGGTTTCGTTTGTCTACATGTCGATTGACCAGTACATGTGTTCTTGACATCAATGAAAATAGAATATTTTGTAGCTGTGGGTTAGAGAAGCTCACACCACTGGCTATCTGACAGAAAGGCCAACTTTATGAAGCTTATTTCTGATAATATTAGGATGCTGACTTATCGTACAGAGCTTTTCTGAAGTGTTAATTCCGTTGGAAAACTTATGACCAACGGTTGTGTCGAATTCATATTGTCAAATAGTGGTCATCATACTAGGATGTCAAAAATGGTCTACCTGAACATGCTTTTAGCTAATACTATTGATTGGTTCAAAGTGAGTCCACATTCTGCTAACTGCACTTTGTAAGATTTGAGTCACTCTACAGTTATAGCTGCTAGCCGTCCTATCCCTTTCTGCACTATGGAAGTATTCAAATGTCTTTGTTGATGCCTTTTCACTGTCAGCCTGGGTTTCTTTACATAATCACTGCTGGTGTTCAAACATCGTACACAGAACTGAGACCACATTACGTTTCTTTCACTTTTTCGCGGTTTCGAATCCCTGTCTTACCAAACATGCTCGCCCTTTCAGCTGTGTCGGCGTTATAATGTGACAGTCAATTCCACTATTCGTGTGTAAAAGAGTAGCCCAAGAGTTGAAGGTGGGTGGTGATGAATAGCTGCCTTCCCTCTAGTCTTACACTGCTAAGTTAGGGACGACTAGCGCAGATAGCCCTTGTGTAGCTTTGCGCGAAATTCAAAAGCAAACAAACTTTTACTTTTATATTGGTCTGGCACGCCTAAGGGGTTAGCATGCCGGAATGCTCATGGTTTGCGTCACGCTGCCGAAAAATTGCGATTCGCATTTTGAGTTATATGAGTGCTTTATTGGAAAAGCCTAATAATTGGCGTAAGGCGATGTTGACTAGCTGCCTCCCCTCTAATCTTTCGGTTGGAAATTATAGATAGCTTGCGCATGTAGACTTTCTACAGTGTCTTGCAAAAGCATTCACCCCCTACCAATAATGTCACATTTTGATGAAAAACAAATAATCTAAACAATTTTATTTAATGAACTTGTTTTTATTCAAAACTCTAATGATCAAACTTAACACCGTTATGTATGAAGGACGTTGAATGATACCCTGCAAAGAAAATATATAAATTGAAATTTGTTGATTGCATAAGTATTCAGCCCCCTAAGTCAGTACTTGGTGGAAGCACCTTTGGCAGCAATTACTGCTGTGAGTCTTTTTGGATAGATCTCTACCAGCTTTGCACAATGGTATGGTGTAATTTTTTCCCATTCTTTCTGCCAGAATTGCTCTAATTCTGACAAGTTCGTTGGGGATCTTTGGTTGACTGCATTGTGGCTTGGGCCTTGTGCTTTGG